TGGACTCTCTCTCTCTCTCTCTCTCTCTCTCTCTCTCTCTCTCTCTCTCTCAATATATATATATATATATATATATATATATATATATATATATATATATATATATATTGGGTGTTTTTTGCTTCTTTATCTTTCAAATTGCTGGTTTGATCCTGTTCATCTACTGTACTGTTGATTTTCTATAATGTATTCTTCATTTCTGACTGGTTCTTTTTTATGTTTTCTAGCTCCATTTTTTTTTAAATATATTTTATTGATTTTTTACAGAGAGAAAGGGAGAGAGATAGAGAGTTAGAAACATCGATGAGAGAGAAACATCGATCAGCTGCTTCCTGCACATCTCCTACTGGGGATGTGCCCGCAACCCAGGTACATGCCCTTGACCGGAATCGAACCTGGGACCTTTCAGTCCGCAGGCCGATGCTCTATCCACTGAGCCAAACCGGTTTCGGCTCTAGCTCCATTTTTATGTGTCCCATCTTATTGTTGAAGTTCTAAATGAGATCCTTGAGCATCCTTATAATCAGTGTTTTGAACTCTACTTCTGGTAGATTGCTTATCTCCATATTGTTATTTTCCTGAAGTTTTGTTCTGTTCTTTCATTTGGGACATGGTTTTTTGTCTTTTGACTTTGGCTGCCTTCCTGTGTTTGTTCCTATGTATTACATACAGCTACTACATCTTCAGGTCTTGGAATAGTGGCCTTAGGTAGTAAGTGTCCAGTAGGGCCCATTGGTGCAGCCTCTCTGGGTCACCCAAGATGGTGCTTCAAGTGCACTCCCTGTGTGGACTGTGTGCACCCTCCTATTATAGTTTAGCCTTGATTACTCTCAATAGAAGAGGTTTTCCCCCAGGCTTATTGGCTGTGAGGACTGGCAGTGACCACAGCAGAAGACCTGCTGTGCAGGGCCTGACCCCACAGAGTAGGACTCAATTCAACTGGGCTCTGGTGCCTACTGAGTCTGCCCCTTGAGTGCGTTGACCATGGAGGTGGTTGGGTCGTGCTTTGGTGCAGTCAGAAGCTGTTCTGGGGCCTTCTGGGAGGTGCAGTCCAAGGTCAGCTACTGCCTGTGCCCTGCTCAGGGCCACTAGCATGAACTACAAAGCAATCCTCAGATGGCTGTTACTTGTGCTGTGTTTGGAGGTGCCTAGGAGAGGCCAAGCTATAAACCAAGTACAGCTTCAGCTAGTTCTGGGCCTGAGGCTACTTAGCAAGAGGTATGGGTCACACTGAAACCAGATACTGCTTATTTGAGAGATTTTATGAAAGTCTGCAGCCTGAGTCAAGACAGGATGTTTGTATGGAAAAGTCACTGGAAACAGTTTGGGAGGGTCCAAAAGCTGGGCGAGGCATGGTCTCAGGGAATCACCAGGGCAAGGCAAACAGTGTTAAATATGATACCCCCCTTCTGGCTTTGTATGGTGGTGGGACTCAGCAAGGGAAACAATGGCTTCTGCCAGCACTTATATCTGAGAGAAATCTGCCCTTCCATCCCTCGTCCTGAAACCTGGTTATTTAGTTCCTCCCTGTGGGAACCCTAATCAGAGTACACCAGATGTCCAAGGCCAATTTGCATATAGGGCCCTATGCAGAGTATGCCGAATGTTCAAGGTCAATTTGCCATACACAGATGCAAAAGCAAGGACACAGCACTCTTACTGTATGCACTGTACAGGCATACCTTTCTATAACCCAAATATTGATGTCACTATTTGGCAAGAAGCCTCTTTTGTCTGAGCTTGTATAAAGATGTGTTACTGACCAGCTGGTGCATGGTATGGCTCCTGCGTTTGTTACTGTATTAACAAGGGCTGCTTTGTGCAGCTACTTCGTGAGGCTACTTTGAAGAACTATTTTGTCTGATGGCTACTTGTTAGCAATGGCTACTTGGTCTATAATAAACACTCTTCTATATGCCTACAAATTCTCATATCTTCTCCATCTAATACCCAGAATCTTAGGCTCCATGTTCCCGTACTCCCCATACATCCCTGATGCCTTTCCAGCTCTTGCCTCAGCACTGGAGCTCAGAGGGAGCGAGTCCCAAGTATGTCCATGGGTGGGCCCTTTAAGAGGAGCACCTGGGGCTCCAGCAGACCTCCATCTCACTAAGCCACAATTTCCTCTAGTTTTCACAGCCAGAACTTTTGGGGACTTCTCTTCCCAACATTGGAACCCTGGGCTTGGGGACCTAGTGTGGGACTGGGCACCCTTGCTCCTCAAGAAAAACTTCTGCATCTGAGATATTCCTCCTGATTTTTAACTGCCACATGTGGGTGTGGGACCAGCCTATTCAAGTGTCTCTACCCTTCCTACCAGTCTTAATGTGGTTTCTTATTTATATCCTTAGTTATAGAACTTTTATTAAGCTAGATTTCAGGTGATTCTGAGTGATGGTTGTTCTGTAACTTAGTTGTAATTTTGATGTGGTTATGGGAGGTTCTGAGTACTGTGTTTACCTATGACACGATCTTGACTGGAAGCTTAGCAGTTTCTCTCCATCAAAATGCTGTGCTGTAGGTAAGCATGGGATATGCAAACAACATTAAGTAGTGAAGACTGTACTAGTACATACCATTAAGTGTATTCATAGAGCAGTAAACTATGCAGCTAGAAGTAGGTCAATGAATTATTATGGAGTTTTGGAATTAGACAAACTTTGATTATTGAAGGTATTGTCTTGGACTAAAATAGAGACTAAAATATTGGTTATTATTAACTGTAATGAGTAGTTAGTGAACAATTTGAGAGTATTTATGAACAAGGGCTATATATCTTGGTAGAGATGAGAAAGTGTAGGACTTTAAAGAAGGTAGCTTTACAGGATGAAATAATGAGGGAAGGCTATAAAAGAGGTAGAATCTTAAAATTTAGATTTTTCAGATAGAAAACAAACAAGGGCATTGAATGTGGAAAAGTGATGTCAGACAATGACAGTCCTGAATGAAGAGGAAAACTGATCTTAAGGAGCTACCACATACACACACACACACACACACACACACACACACACACACACACGATGGTGGCATTAATACCTTTCATGAGTATTCCACGTTCTTGTTCATAGAGAGAGACTGAACTTAGTTTGCATTCATACACAACTGCTATCACATACTAGCTGCATAACCTTGAATACATTGCTGACTTAATTTGATTGTCAGTGATCAATTTTTATGTTTATAATGTGTGTATGATAGCACAATATTTATCACAGAGTTGTTGTTTTAGTAATTAATTTAGACAGTAGCTATGAAAATAGTGAAAGAGCTCCCCAAATATTATTTTTCTTTTCTACATTTTATTGGGTCCTCTTGTGAAGTAAACAGTGCAAATTTCATTATTGAACTTTTTTTTTTCAGAGAAATAAACTGAGATTCAGAGAAACTAAAGTTGAGGGAAATCAAGTGTTTTGTTCCTAAGCTACATGGTCCTTAATTCATATAAGGTCATTCTGACTTCCAGTCTTAAATACATTTCTTTTGTCATTATATTTCTAGTAAAAGAGCTAGGTGAGAGCACAATTTCATGGAAATAGGACCCAGGACATAAGTAAGAGGGAAGCAGAACCAACTCTGACTTTGTATTTGTGTGGGCAGAGCAATTTGAAAAAGGCTCTAAGTAGTCCAGAGGCAGCATGAGGGTCCTGTTGGTGGGATAGGTACCCAAATAGGTAGCAGGATGCAGACAATGTGGACTGCATTACAAACCAAAAATTTCTTCCTCTCAGTTTGACCAGGTGCAGTTTGAACAACATGAGAGTTGGCCCTGTTTCATAATACATATTTTGCAAAGAGAATTTGATCCAAATTCATGAATATAGGTATGTGTATATGTGCACATGGGTGTGCACAAATACATGTCTCTATGCACCCACACACATACACACACATAATGGTGGGATGGTGGAGATAAAAGGGAAAGATTAATGTTTAGAATTGCTTTTAACAGAAACATTGGCATCTAAAAATGGGGTACATAGAACAATATGAAACATTACAATGCAAAAGCTAGGATGAACCACATTCACCCTTACATACTTGGCCTAATTAGACACCCGCTAGTCCCACCAACCATCTCACCCTCTCATTCCCGCCCTGGAAGCTGGATTTCCTCCTCCTCCTACTTCTATATTCACCAGTTGCAGCAGGGTGATTTCTGGAGAAATTGAATTCATTAGAATTTTTATGGATAATTATAGTTGCAATATGCTTGGAGTCATTTTATTAAAGCAGTTATGAGGTAATTAATCTTGTCAATAACCTCTGGAGTGAATGTGCATTTTCTATATTCTCCATGGTTTTTTTTGCTTCTGTTCAAGTCTCTGAAAATATCCAAATGTGTTTGCACTTATGTTCTCACCCACCTCCAGAGCTCACAGCCAGTCGGGAGCCCAGACCAGACTTATTTTCTTGGCCAAGGAAGGAGATAAAGACCAGAAGATCTTTAGTTGGCCTTTGTTTTTTTTCTGTTCTTCGCTACTTAAGAATGAAGAACTACCTGTGGCCCAGTGTCTCTCTTTAGCTCCTTCTTCCCAAATTAGGAAAAATGATGGTGTTGCTGGATAATGATTAGCAATGCAAGGGCTTCTGAAGCCTATTTCCTATTTCTAAGAAGAACTGAAAAGCAAAAATCTGAAGATACCACGTATAGTAGTATGAAATTTGGATGCTTAGCATAACTACTTTCTTTAAATAGGCATTTAATATAGGATCCAGTTTTCAAAACAAATTAAATAAAAAAAATCTATGAACTGAAAAATTTGGAAAATGCTAGTTTGCTGAACTCAGAACCTAACTACAACTCAGTATATATTTTAATTGGACTGTGAACCAACTTAAAGAATTTCCCCCTACATGTATGAATCAAAACAGCTCAATCCGAAAAATATATACATATATTTTAAAATAAGGTTTTAAATATTAGGACATTTAAATACTAGAAAATCAAAACATTTTATTAATGGAACCTACTCTCATTGACACATAGTTACACTTACCTTCCCAAGAACATACCTTCCATGTAAAGAGGCCACCTTTTCTCTTCCTACTGTTTGTGAAAACTTCTGTCTTAAGAATTGCTAATAGCAATGCAGGCAGCCTGTAGAGAATCAAAAGACAAGCCATTCTTTGATCTTCTTCTTATGACTCATGTTCTCTGTAACTCAAAGGTAATGCTAGTGATGGCCATTATTCTTGTTGGCAAGGTGGCTCAAGAGATATGTGACAAGCTGTCCCCTCTGTTAGAATTACTTTCATCTTACCTCTGTGGCTGCTGAGCCAGAGAAAGCCTCCAATAAGGGCCCGCATTTACGTATAGACACATGCCCAATTCTGAAAGCATGCATTCCACTAATGGACACACGTTCACCATATTCCCCAATTTTCATGTTGCACTATTCTTGCCCTTTACCTGCCAAATTTATAGACATGGCATCTATTATCCATTCAGCTTTTTAAATGAATCGTGAACTTTCAGTGAAATTTTTGGAATGATATAATTATCTGCCTACATTACCTCAATATTATCTGTTAATAATTTTGATAACAATAAGAATGGGGTAATAGTCTCTATTCAATCACCTAGTCAGCAGGATGTGTAGTGGAATTATGTCTACCTTAACACAGAACAAAGGGAGTTGAGATGGTTCTTAGTTAAAATTAATTTCTTTTCTGGCAATAAAAGGAATCTAATTAACAAAATACAATAGCTTTTAATCTATAATATCTCTTGGTCACAAAACTGTTGCCAAGGTTACATTGTTTACAAGACAGCCTCCCTGTTTTTGGACAGGGAAATAGTACCCACAGTGAAGTTAAGTATTAGACAATAAGCTAAACTGTGATTTGGTGAAATTCCCTAACTCTACCAGTTTGAGCAGTTTGGTGGGTTTCACACTCCAGTAAGTTTCCATATATGCTGCCTGATTGGCTAGGGTCTAGAGTTGATTAATAGGCATTAAATAGCAAGTATTAATACTTGGGAAACCTCACTGGGACTGCAATAAGTCTGGAAGTGGTTCTTCATTTCGGGGGAGGGGAGACTTTGTCCACTTTGGGAATCACATGAAAGCTATTGATTTTCTACAAAGAAATACTTAGATGCCACACATTTTGTAGATAATAATAGGAGGTACACTGATATTATAAACCATGATCTAGATAAATCTTATATTAATTGCTAAATGCATAAGCTTAAGCAGCCCTTAGACCAGCGGTTCTCAACCTGTGGGTCATAACCCCTTTGGTGGTCGAATGACCTTTTCACAGGGGTCGCCTAAGACCATCCTGCATATCAGATATTTACATTATGATTAATAACAGTAGCAACATTACAGTTATGAAGTAGCAACGAAAATAATTTTATGGTTGGGTCACAACATGAGGAACTGTATTTAAAGGGCCAGAAGGTTGAGAACCACTGCCTTAGACCAACATTATAGGCATAGCTTTGGGAAACGGGGGCAGTGGATCAAATGTTTTCATTATGTCCTAGGTGTACTTGAAAATAAGAACCATTTGTCCCTCAGAACTTATCTGTATGTGTTACATAGTTTAACATTTCCTACTACTTTCAACTCCAATACTTTAACCCAATCTTGGTCTTCTGGGAATATATAGAATGAACTTTGTAACTTTCCTGATGTTTTTTGCATGGCTAACATCCTAGGAAATTCATTTCATTAGTAATTAGCAAGCTCAATATCTAGCCTGGCTGCTGAATAATAGATGACATCTTTTAATGCTCTCATGTACATTCTAATAGACCCATCAGTGAAACAACCAAAGACAGGAAACACTAATCTTTGAGTAGACTCTGGTTTGTCTATTGTAAATATTATTGCTAAAATTACATTTTCTGATAATTCAACTTTACAACACACTTTCTCTTTGTCACCAAAGTGTGCCCCCTAAACTAGAGGCATTTAAATTGTAGTATGTCCATGAGTTTCAGCATGTCTATGTTTCACTATGGAAGGTTTTATGGTAGCAACATAAGAGGTACTTGTTCCTTAAAAATGACTTTATTACATCTAAGTGCACCCAAAATGATTTTGGCCTCACAGAGTCTTTGAATTAAACCTCTGTAGGTAAGAGCTAGTGTATTCTTTCATCTCATTTCTCATAGTCTCCTGCCACTGAGACCTTCTGCTCTCATTTGATATCGTTGCCTTCTCTGTCATTCTATCACCCACTTTTCTTCCTGGCATCCAGGGCACTATGTTTTTTGGTACTTCACATGAGATTCCTTTCTTCATGCCCAGTTGAAATGTAAACAGTCTGCTTCTCTTATTGCCCTCAAGTGGTTTCAATAAGCCCTTGTCCTCAAAGGGCCAAACCTAGCACATCCCTGGCCCTCACTGCAAGTGCCTACTAGTGAAAATCAAAGGCCACAGGGACCACCCAAACACTAGATATTCCAGCAACACACACCAGGCCTATTCCCCCTTCTCCTCCTGCACTTCTGCAACTCAAACCTCTGAGACAGATTCAGTACGTTGAGCTTCTAGAGTGTGGTGGCCAATCATTTTTGTCTGTGATTGAAAAAGTGAGCTTAATGGGTCTATTTCCAGTGCTACCTGCATCATCTATAGTGCCAACTTTGTCAAGCACTCTGAGTACAGCTTGTAAAGTTTGCATTCTATTTTTCCCATTGGAATTACTGTGCAATTTGTATTGAGTGCTTTTATATTTAAGTACATGAAAATTGTACCCAAATGTTCCAATTCCAAAATCAGGTAAGTGACAATAAGTTGCACTTCATATTGCTAAAATATATTACTGGAAAATATTACTAAGATGTATTTCTTTTAGTAGAATGAACTCTCTGGTCATTTGCTTGCATGTCCCCTACCGCACTGTAGAGATGAGGAAGGGTGAAAACTGTTTTTCCTCCAAAGAAGCCAAAGTCCTGTGGGGGAAGCTGCAAAGGCCTGCCTTATGTTACATAAGGCCCTTTATCATTTACCACTGGACCTTCTTCTCTGTCCATTCTCACAACTGAGACCTGGCTGAGAATTGCTATATTAGACTTCGGATTTTCTGAGAAATGGGACTGAGACTTGATCATTCCTATATACAAAGTATGGGAGAGTGAGGAGGTGTCTGGAAAAACGTTGGTTGGTTGGATGGTTAGCTGGTTGGATTGATGGAATAACAGTGTAGTAGTTTAGAATCAGAGTGCCTGTATCCCAGCTTTGCCATTTATTTTTTATTTGAACTTAGGCAAGTTATCTCACCTCTCTAGCCCTCAACATTAAGCATAGATAATATTATATCCACCTCAGAGTACATTTTGTTTATTTTAGCTCACATTTATTGTATCTATTATATACTATACACTGTCTTTACTACTGTACATAGATTAATTCGTTTAATCATCCCTGTGAGGATTAAGTGGAATAAAGCAAACTCTCTAGCATTTAGTAAATGCTCATAAATGCTAGTTATTATGAGAGACAGTCTGGGCATAGCTATGAAGTTCTGCCTCTAAATCACAACCTGAATAATCTTAGAGGTTTAGCCTGCCTCATCTTCTCCAATGTTTCATATTAGTCCTCCACTCCTTGAGGTCTGATATCATGGGACAACTTAAAAAAAAAAAACAAAAAACAAAAAAACAAACATAAACTCTTAGGTTTCTATTCTTGAGAGTTTTTTTTTCTACAGGATGTCCCTATATTCCTTATTCCCCAGTAACTAGGACTAGTGTTTGTGAAAAAGGATGCATGGTCTGGGTCTTAATAATTGCTCCTCTGTTTAATATTGGTTTAGTGATCCTGACCCCAAACTTTGCCTGGCTTGGATGAGCCCGGCTGTTGTAGCCCCAGTGGCTGAATGCAATCCTCCTTAAGGGGAAGTGTTGTTCTTTAGGGACCCGTTTCTGTGCTATATCCAAGGTGTGCATGGTACTAAGAGCAGGAGAAACTCTTTAACTGACCTTTACTTAAACTAATTTTCTGAATTAACTAACCCTCTGTAAAACATACTGACTGCCCATAGCACTCTGTTGTGATTGAGTCATGTAAGTGGGCTCAGTTGTCATTGAATCGGTTCCCAAGACCTTTGTGGCCTTTTCCCCTTTGTAGACTGCTCAGACCAATAACAGGCCATTCAGGACAGGGCATTCAACATTGGCATTTTAACTTTAACCACGAGTTTTGGGAGTTTATTCCCTCATTCCTTTGAATGATACTGGTAAGATGAGGCATACTGATGTGCCCTGAGTTACAGTGCACTGAGCTATTGACCCTTCTAGATTATCTAATAGATACTGAGGCAGCCAGAGTCCCTGAGCTATTTTTGCCTCTAGCCATGAGCACACTTGTCATTTTACTTTGATGAACCATATCAACTTTATCACTTTCACCTGTGTCATGACATGGACAAATCAGGAAGTGTTGTTTTTAGAGCATTACTTAACAAATGCCTTTTAATTTTAGAGCCACAATATGTGAATCAGGTTAAAAGTGAATCTGCTTTCTTAATACCACTGAACTGATTGTATGCTTAAAATGTTTAAGATGGTAAATTTTATGTGATGTGTATCTTACTATAATTCAATTTAAAAAAAAAAAAAAGTGAACCTACTTTGAGTAAAATACCAGACAGGTCCTGGAACCTTGGCATTCCTCTCAGCAGAATCTGACAGATTCAGGGAACACAGCTGAGAAAGCACTGCTTTAGAGCAAGAATTGGAAGCCTCACTCTCCCCTTGGGCTCTAGTATCTGCAATAGAACATTGCTCTGAGAAGCAAGCCTTCAGCAACTCTGCAGTGAAGCAGATTGCCTCCTAGGCTTTGTCACTGAACAGGTTTACTCTCCCTGACAGTGTGCCCTCTATCAACCTCCTTGGACACTCAGTGCCAATAGAACTTGACCCTTCATTTTCCTCCCAAACACGAAACATCACCTATCATAAATGTATATAAATATTTAGTGACAAGGCTTTTCATCACCATACTGTAAATGCACCCCTTTTGAAGGGCATAAAATAAAAAGAAAACCTCTCTCTGCCCAGTTTTCATCCCATTCCTGTCAGGTAAAACCATTACTGACAGTTTTGTACTTTTTGTCTCTGTTTATCTTTCTAAAAATATA